CCGATGACAGGACTTTGTAGAAGAGCAGTCTATTATTAGTCAATCAGTAACAGTAGGGATGGCTTTTACAGCTACCAGATGGATAGTTTATGTATGTGTTTAGAAGTGTCCAGACAGAATTTTGAATTTGCATTTTGTAAAATTACACTAAAATCCAAAGGACAGTCACATTTCTTTGAGCCAAAGTAAAAGTGATTAAAATGTAATTTACAATGTGTTTGAAACATTCATCTCAAGTTTTGGCAATAAAAAAAAAAAAAAAAAAAAAAAAAAAAAAAAAAGAAATACATACAATATATACAAAACAGTACCTAGCTCCCAGGATGATGATCACATCACCGGCAGGCACAGGGAAAGTCCCTGACTGGACTCAACAACGGATGGGAACTGGATTCCAGGTCTGGATTCAGTAGTGCTCAGACTGGGATTAAAGGCAGACCAACAGACAGGGTCCTCCTTGGATGCCAGCCATTGAAGAAAGAGGGCTGACATTCTGATCGCTCAGCTTGTATACTGAGCACAGGGCAGATGGGATGGAATGCCCCATTGGTCAGTTTTGGGTCACCTGTCTTGTCCCCTCCTCCCCATATATGTGACCTCTCTATGCTTTTCAGCTTCCAAACCTTCAAACAGGCAAATAACAAAGTTAGCTGACCTTAGTTGTTACAGCAGTATCAGCAAGAGCCTCTCTGCATACCATTCCTTGGCATAATCAGGTCTTACCACTCTAAGAGCAAAACTTACTGCACAATAAGCTGCTAATTTCAGAGTTTTAGTTAGTTAGAAGAGTTTAGTTATTACTGTAATTACTGAACAGAAAATTGGTTCAGTTTTATCTCAAACAAGGACAGCAGATGCAGGGGAGCAGGAGTGCTCCTACCCCACCATGTTGTTCTCTGTCCCATGCGAAAGTCCTTCTGCTGATGCATAGCACAACCCAGGCTACTTGCTTATTACTTAGGTTAAAAAATAAAAAGGGGATGGGTGCTGAGAAGAGTAGGAGCAGCAGAAGAGGGCTTGGGAAATGATGAAAGAGGAGAATGGCAAAAGGGATCAATGAGGGTAAGTGCTTTCATGTAGGTAGCATTAACAACAATGACAAATCAAACAGAGCAGCAAAGCAGGTGCTTTCTCTGACTTGCTACTCCCCATCCCTCAAAGGCATCAGAGGCAAAACCAGTGTCTGTAATAGCAGGAACTACAGAAACAATTCCCTCTCCTCCAGGCAAAAACACTCTGGGAAAAGTTCTCCCTGATAAAATATCTCTGTTTGCTCAATACACACCCACTCACACAGCAATGCAAACTTGGTTGAGTGGTTTGCATGACCAGCTCTGCAGAAAGACTCAGTTCTTGTGGTTTTCCCTCTACTCTATACAAATCAAGTCACTTGATGGGTCTGTGGGGAAGGCAGAGGGGATGATGTTCCCAAGAAGCTGGGGAAGGAGAAAAGTAATGATGTGCTTTGCTAAGTTAATTATTTTATTTTTTTTTTTTAGTAAACTAACTGTCTGAATTAAACTTTTAACTCTATTTGATTATTCAATGCTGCTAGCTGGGAAGTTAATTTATTCATGTGCTAGTGTTTACTGCTGCTAGATGGTTATTTCCATCGCAAAACTCCCTATTGATAGGGATCGCAGAGCTTCTGTAGGAGTACTTTTTATTGGCATTAAGTCTAGATCAGTTGATTCTATCAAGTTTGTCTCATTTTCCACCCACTTTCCCTATACTGGAGCCTCAGTCTATGCCCTTGTAACATAGCTGTGCCCACTGCCAGCCTTGTTCCACACAGCTCACCCCCATGCTTTGGCCTACCTAATGTAATAATTAGGTTTCCTCTAAATTACTGACAACTTAAGAGCTAAGTAACTGCAATTACTTACATGCTGCCTTATGGACCTCTAATCATGAGATGTGGAAAAATATGCCATTACTTTTAGACCCAAGCCTAATTAAATGATAAGCCTGCCAATTTTAAGACCCTGAAGACTCAACACAGTGCCCCACAGAAAAACAAAACCAAAAATCTATGGTTTGCCACAGCCTGTTTTGCGCTTCTGGAAAAGGAAAGACAGCTTCTCACCACACACACAGGAAACACAGGTTCAGCAGAGATCACGGGTACCACATACCACCTTGTCTCAGTGCTAAACATGAGGGCTCTTCATTGCACAGGATACATAGATCTGTGCTTCCTAATAGTACCTGCAGTGCTGACAGTAAGTTGTTTTGTTTGTCTGTCTGCCCCTCAGTCCCAACTCTCCATATATTCTTTAGAAAAGGCTAGATGCTCTTTTCCAGTTGCCTCCAGCAGATCGGCGATCCCCATGACTGCAGTAAAATATCTAACATTAATTCCTGCATGTCCACGTCCCAGAATTATGCTGAGGGGAAGAGAGTCTGTGTCTCTGCACTCCGGCCAGCAAAAGGGGCAAACATCTTCTGCAGGATCATGCAAGAAGACAGCAGCACAACAGAGAAGTGAACCTGGCTCCTCTGCATCCCCAACAAACCTGAACTGCTTTACAATAACTTTTGATGGAAGCTGTTCTGGTGGATGCCTGAACAGAAAAATCTCTCGGCAAATCCCTTGGTACCTCCCAAAATATTCTGTCCTGCCAGTCAGAGGTTTTGCAGCCCCGTTAAAGCAAGGAAGTGTTTAGAAACACCAGGGATAGTCAGCCACGGAAATTCTCAAGCCTGATTGAGTATTTAAATTCTCTGACTTTAAGAGATAGGAGTTTCCACGTTTGCCAAGGACTTAATGCACCATAAAGGCAGGAGTCAAGATACAAATAAGAAAAAAAATAGTTAGTTAATTATAATCCCAGTAAATAGAGTTTACTGAGTTTACTCAGTCGCAATTTGAGGCAATCTAGAGTTTAACAGCTTCGTTCCTACTCATACGAGGGTTTAAAATAATACTATTACTACGGTGGAGAGAGGGTTAACCTTTACCCCCAAACTACCACATAACATAAAAGTCGGGCCCAAAGGGCCAGAACTTGTATACATTGGCAAGGAGTAGCACTGTAAAAGAGGGTAGAAGTTTCCTGTTAGACAGGGAGGGAGGAGAAACTGCACTGCGCTGCAGAAAAGCTCCCATTAACAGCTCAAAATGTTTCTCCATTTCCTTCACCTCTCCATCGAGCTGCTTGCAGACTTGTCTGCAAGCCCCCACCGTTAAGTCACCCCCTTCAGTCAATTCCCCCCACATCAAAGTCCTCGCTGCCAAAGTCACCGCTTGTCACATCAGCAAGATCATTTCAAGGAGAGCTGCAGACCTACCTCCTGGACTTTGCTCTGGTCTCTTCCCCTCACAGAGCTCTTTAGGATGCTCTGTCCCAGCAGATCGACACGGGCACAGCCAGCTTGGTGGTTGAACAACGTCCTGGTGCCTGCTCCATCCTGCCGGTGCCTGCAGCCTTCAGGCTTGTCAGTGTTTCAAGCGTGTATGCAGCCGCATGTACAGAAGCAGCAGGGACGACATTATTTCTGGCAGAGATTACAAAAGAAAAGTGTAAAATGTTAGCTGAAAAGCAGTGAGTACAGAGGCTTTGCGCGATAAACTGTGGAAGCCATCATCTGCATAATAAGCATTATCAGTATAAAAAGCATATATTTTTGTTTACTCACACAGCATTTCTAAATGCCAAGAACATGGAGGGGGGAAAACACCGTAAAAAGAACAGATCACATCAAAGCAACCTAATTTCCTTCTTTGGCAAGGTGAAGAAAGAGGACTTGGGGAGAGGCAGGAAAGCACCCAGATGTGACGAGTCTCTGTTAAAAGCCTCAGCAAGTTCAAGACCCGCACAGTACTTCGGGTATCAAGACTTCAGGTGTCAATGGTCCTGTTCCCACCACAGATAAAACAGGTCTGCCACTGTGCCAAAGACAGAAATTTGGGCTACTGGTATGACCCCACCGTCCTGGTGATACTCGCCAAAACTCTGTTCAGACAGGATGATCTGCATTGCAAATTCACCTGTACCTAAGTACCTCATATGGTATACAATGTCTCTTACATGGAAAGATACAAATTTTTGTGAGATTATACTTAAGCTTTGCGTGAGTAATGATTACAAAGAAATTTGAGGAACTAAACATTGTACTATTTGCATTTACCACAAATACCACAGTATTTTCCCTCGAGGAAAGCACAGCAGTGGTACTCCCAAGGCATATGTAGTTTTCTCCTCCTCTACATCCACATTTTGATGAAAATATTGTGCACACCAGCCTCCTCTTCATCATCAGCCTTCCAGCTGATATGGATTTATAAACCACACACCTTTGTACTATGGAGCTTCTTATTTGTACTCCATTCTCCCATGTAGCAGAAGCAGGCTGAATCTCACAAGCTCCAAAGAGAGATTTGGGTGACACAGATCCACGGGATCCTGCAGTCCTGCCTTAGCTCAATGGGCCCAGCACAGCGAATTCACACAGCAAGAAGAGTTTCTAGATTCCCTGCTTGATATCTGGCAATCCCTGTATGCATAAGATGCAACGTGGCATGACAGTAACTGGGTCAATTTTATCCCTTTTCAGTGTGATGGTCTGGGGGAGCAGGGGTACGGTGGGCAATGGTTTCAAAATGTTATCAGTTACAAAAGAATTACAAACATAGAATATAGAAATTATGCCAATCTCTTGTGAGGCAAAAACACATGCAAAATTGGAAAAAGTCTGCAGACAGCTATGCGTCTTTTGTGTAAGATTTAGGGTGCCGACTTGCCCTTGCCTGAAAAGCAAGCACACAGAAAGACCCCCCCATCAAACAAAAACGCACCACAAAAACACACACAGGCCAACTGTGCTCCATAACGTTGATCTGAAAGGAAAAGGTCTTTGATTAGCACCAGGGGTCAGCGGCTGGCTTCCTGATGCACCACGCAAGCCACGTTGTAGTTCAACAATATGACAGAGCAGGAGGATGTGTGGGTCTGCAACAGGCTGGTATGTACCCTGTCATCTGCTTAATGATGCTTCTGTCTGGGCGTGATGCCATTAGAGAACTCCTCTTTCTTCACGGTTGTCCCTCTTGTACTCAAACCAGAGGGACCTACGCGTCACACTTGGTCAGGCTATAAATCCTGGTGAAGCCTTCCTCAGTTCTAAGTTTTTCAGTAAGAAGTCTGATGAGGCTTGATTGTTGACAGAGCTACACAAAACTTACCTCCCCCACTGGATTCAGCGCCCTGCAGTTTATGTAGCAGAAATGAGCTTTTTGTGACTCATCTGCTGCATCTCTTAGTTCCTTTATCAATATTTCCTAGGAGACCTCAAAAGCTAGAGTCACTGTAGGACTCCTGATGCCTTTCTGAGGTTGTAACAGCTACACAAATGCCATAAACTCCTGACAGGGTCCTCTTAAGCATCATCTGTTAGTGAGACCAAACTCACTTGATCAGCATGCATTTGGACAGCCCACACTCCTTATCCATGTCCTACCTGAAGTCACCTTGTAGCATAGGTACACGGTAACAACAAAGACTAACAGCTGAGCGGGTGCATCAGTACTTCTCTGGTGCTCCACTCCTAGCTCTGACCAACAGCTAATGTGTTTCCAAAATCTCTGCATCACCCTTTCCTGAAATCCTTCTGCTGAAGTCTGAAAATGTTGTGCTTCTGCCCTGCTAGTGGACAGAAAACTTTTTGAAATCATATTGTACATTGTTGAGGCCATATTGTACCCGTTGAGGCCTCAGCCGTATCTGGCCAGGCTAAACAGCTGCCAGGCTGACAAGATCCGCGTGATTAACCACCTCCAGACCTACCTGTTTGTTCTCAAACAGTGTTTCAACATTTTTCAGGCTTCTCTTCCAAGCACTCACTGGTTTCTTTATACCTAACGACAGCACAGGACTTTGACCCTTTACTGGGGTCAAAGCACCATTACTGCTTTTCAAAAAATTGCAATCCTTAAGAACTGCTCATTTATATGAATCCTGCGTCAAAAAGCATTGGCCAGGGTTATTAGTGACCTTCCAATGCCTTTACAGGTGGGCAGTGTACAGAAAAATAGACAAGAATTGGACCAAAATCCAACAGTAACAGATATATAGGACCAAAACCCACAGGTTCACAAGTTTAGCAGCATTTCACTACTCTATGACCATCTCAGAAAAGCTATATACACAGAGGAACAGGCACATCACAGCCATAGGGCCCACCCAGCCCAGGATGTTGTCTCAGAGCAGCTGCTTAAAAAGAGGAGAAAAAGCAGAAGGAAAGTAAGTAGTCTCCAACATCTTCTCCCCGTGTTCTTTCAGTTTCTGGTCCCTTACAGCTCAGCAGTTTCCAAAGCCAGGGGTTATAACTTTCTGCTTTTCATGAAATTCTGATTTCTTCCATCCAGGTGCTTCTGAACTCACATTAAGTTTTGTGACATCCAGCAGACTGAGGAAGGGACAAAAGACTCCGCAGCTGGCCAGAATATCGTGCAAAAAAAGCTCTTCGTCTTACTTGGTTTCAATCTTTTGCCTTCCAGCATCACTTGACTGTTGTAATTCTCAGCCTGAAAGAGAGCGAGCAGCTCTTTCCTGTTCACTGCCTCCACTTCAGTCACAAGCTTATCTACTCTATCTACCCCTCAGCTGTTTCTCTCCCAGGCTATCAAATGCAAAAAGATTATCATTAAGGAAGTTTATTTATTTTAAAACGTAACTATTAGATAAATTTCCCTAACTCAAAAAGAAACAGCCTGGATTATGGACTACATCTTTGGAACAAGTCAGAGGATATTCAATGGAGCAGATCCTCAGGTGAGACACAGTAGTAGGCCAGTTTGCCCCAAGGGAAGTTCCCCTAAAGGTCTCCTTCTACAAGCCTTTCTCTGATACCACTAAGCCTGTTCACCCCAAAATGAGAGACAAGCTGCTACCATCTCTCCTCAAGGAAAAAAACCAAAACCCACTTTTTTTTTTTTTTTTTTTTTTTTAACAAATCCTCACTGTTCTGTTTCCTCACAAGGAAAAAGAGCCTCTTTCCGTACAAAAGAAATGAGTAAGTGCAATTGGCAACTTAAACACAGCCACAGACTAACACGTACGGGCCGAACAATTTTACTGAGGAAAAAAAAAAAAGCCGACGAGAGAGTTCAGCCAACATCACACCAGAGCCGGTTCCTCTTACCAAAACCGCAGATGAAGTTGGTGTAACTGTTGCTCCCCCAGAGAAGCTGCCGCGGCCGCAGCAGCTGGGCGCTCCTCCTGCCAGCACCCGGGGCGCACCGCTGCCCGCCGGCCGTTAACGGTAACGGCAGCCCCCTCCTGCCCCCCGACACGCAAAACACCCCCCGTCATTAACTTTTTAAGACACACGGCGCCTTCTTACCGGAGCTCCCCGGCAGTACCCGCCGGCACCGGCACCGACACTTCTCCTTTCCTCCTCCTCCTCCAGCCGCCGCCCCGCTGCGCGCCCGCGGAGCCACGCAGCTGCCGCCCCTTCTCCTTCTCCTTCTCCTTCTCCTTCTCCTTCTCCTCCTTCTCCTCCTCCTCCTCCCCAACCTCCGTCACGGCGGCCGAGCCTCCCAAGTTTGCGCCTATGGCGGAGCGGCCAGGGGGAGGCGGGCGCTGCTGCGGCCCCAGCGCGCCGCTCCGCGCTAAAAGTTCGGGCCCTGCTCCGCGGACCGAGCCCAGCCGAGCCCAGCCGGGTCGGGTCGGGCCAGACCGGGCCGGGCTACAGCCTCCCCCCGCCCCCCCCTGCCGCCGTCCCGGGACGTGCCCCGCTCGTCGGGCACCGCACTCACCGGAGCGGAGCGTGGCCGTCCCGGGCAGGGCGGGCTCGGAGGCGCCCACGAGTGTCTCTGTGTGTGTGCGTGTATATATCTATATCTATATATGATGTGTGTGCACGGACGTGTGTGTGCGACACGGCACTGCGTGACGTGGAGGGAAAAGGAGGGGCTGCCGCCGCCCGCCCCGCAACCTGGCGGGCAGGAGGAGGAGGAGGAAGAAGAAGAAGAAGAAGAAGAAGAAGAAGAAGTAGGGGCGAGGATCCCGGGAGCGGAGCGGGGGCGGCCGCTCTCTCCCCGGAGCTGGCAGCTGGGCTGGGCAGGACCCGGTCGCCCGCTGTCCCCGCAGCCGGGGCGGCCCCAGGGGGAAGCGGCAGCCTCCGCGAACGCCGGGGCCGGGAGGGGACCCCGCCGGGGCGGGGGAGGGTCGGCGTGACCGGGGCCGGTGAGGGCTCCGCTGGGGCCCAGGGGCATCCGCCTCCGGGGACGGGTCCCGTCCCCACCCTACGCCGTGGGCAAGGGGGCGGCCTGGGCTAGTGTGCGACACGGCACTGCGTGACGTGGAGGGAAAAGGAGGGGCTGCCGCCGCCCGCCCCGCAACCTGGCGGGCAGGAGGAGGAGGAGGAAGAAGAAGAAGAAGAAGAAGAAGAAGAAGAAGTAGGGGCGAGGATCCCGGGAGCGGAGCGGGGGCGGCCGCTCTCTCCCCGGAGCTGGCAGCTGGGCTGGGCAGGACCCGGTCGCCCGCTGTCCCCGCAGCCGGGGCGGCCCCAGGGGGAAGCGGCAGCCTCCGCGAACGCCGGGGCCGGGAGGGGACCCCGCCGGGGCGGGGGAGGGTCGGCGGGACCGGGGCCGGTGAGGGCTCCGCTGGGGCCCAGGGGCATCCGCCTCCGGGGACGGGTCCCGTCCCCACCCTACGCCGTGGGCAAGGGGGCGGCCTGGGCTACTCGGCTGCCCTGGGAAGGCAGAGAGGTGCGAAGGACCGGTGTGTGTGTGTGGTGTGTGTGTGTGTGGTGTGTGTGTTTGCGGCGGTGGCTGGCTTAAAACCTCGGCTCGCCAATAAGCCGCCCTCGGGATGGAATCTCGCAGTTCCCCAGCCGCTTCCAAAGGCTGGCTGGGCTGCGTGGCTCTGCTCTCCCGAGGGCCTTCCGCAAAAATCTGGGAAAGGCCGGCAGAGCGGAGAGCATCTGCCGCCTGCCGCGGCGCAGACCTTGCAGCTGGGCACAGCTGTGACAGCTCGGCTGCAGCTGCTAATTGCTTAATCCACTGTAACCGAGTTATTTGCAACCGTGCGCCCGAGCTCCTTGCACGGAAATAAGTGGAATCAAAAGGACACGGCTGTTGGACAACTCACCTGCGGGTTTCTCTGCTAGAATAGTGCTGGTGTCAGTGGGAAAACTTTTGCCCAGAAACAAAGCCAAAGCCTTAGCAGCAACACCTCTCCCCAGCCCCCCCAAACATCCCAGCCCCCAAACCGTATATACATAAAAAACTTAAGAGTTCTTTGAATCCTGTTCCATCTTTGAAATGTTTCACTCCCTTCAGGTGTCATGTTTCTTTTCTTGATATAGCCAGAAACTTAATAATTTAAATTCCAGATCATCTATATGATTTCCTACCTGGCTGGTTGCTTGACTACTGGTGATGAGAAAAAGGCCCTCAATGTTACGGATGCAGTTGTTCATTCTCTTTATAATTTAAACAGGGTGCTTTGCTCCAGTTAATAAGGTTTGAAAACCAGAAAAAGAGTCTTTGCCTCTCTGTCATAATGACAAAACACTTGCCAACTGCGACTGCTCCAAGAATTCACCCAAATTCCTATGATGTTATTCTGATATTGCTTCTGCCTCCTCCCTTCCTTAGCTTTGTTTCCACCACCAAAAACCCAACATGTATTTGCACCTTGCAGTACTTTAAAAACCTTTCCAAAGCTGGTCTTCATTCCCATGTTTCTTGCCTTAACTGCTTTTGCTGGTTATAGTTCAGCTTTGACTGGTGAGAAGGTGTAATACTTTGTGCTGATCCTCTCCCTGCAATGAATTTAGCTCTATCCACATCTTTGTCTTTCTTTCTTTCTTTTGCCTTTTCCCCATGTCTCCCTTGCTTATACCTTTTCATAACCTCTGGCCTGTCTGATTCAGGAGGTCAGCTTATCATGTTAGTCCCTGCTGGCCTTAAAATCTATTAATCTTGTGTTGTATTGTCTGCCTCCCAGCTGCTTATCTTCCTTCTCACTGTCATTCTTTTGTTTTGTGCCTTGCATTCTTCCTCACTGGTATTAATCTTCCCACTGATTTTTTTGAACTCCATCTCGACAATAAATAAATAAATAAACCTGTGGAAATACGAATCTGAATTTGTGGCTTTTGTTCACTGTATCATCTCTTTCTCCTCTTAAATCCCCATCTGAATATTAACAGCAGGCAGAATGCCAGGAGTTTTGTATTCTTTGCAATTTATGTCCCTTTTACTTTAGCCTGCACCACAGAAAATACGAACTAACTCACAGCCTAGGAGTGGGGAAGGGGTTTGCTAAATAAAAGAACAGAATGAGAAAGGAGCAGGAAGGGCTGGGAGGACTAACCCTTGCTGTTTGCCCCTTGTGAGCAGAAGCTTTATTGCTCGGAGTAGTCAGGATCATTAATAGCTGCCTATCTTTGACCTGTGATAACAGTTTATATTTTTATGTAAAGAACAATTAGAAAACATAATTTTAAATGGAGAAAAACAAACCACCCTATTCATCCTATTACACTTAAAAAGCATAAATTTAAACACAGAAAACAAAACATCCTATTCGTGATGGTGTAACTTCTTGCCATCTCTTCTCCCTACCAGGAGGGAGAATACAGAAAATTCACAGTTTTAAGAAGATTTGGGAAGAGAATTCTACATTTGTTAGTCATATTAAAACAGAATCACAGAATCAGTGTGGTTGGAAAGGACTTCTGAGGTCACCGAGTCCAACCACACACACACACAAAACCCCTACAATCTCAGCCACTAGAACATGCCCTGAAGTGTACATCTACACGCTTCTTGAATACCTCCAGGGATGGTAACTCAACCCCCTCCCTGGGTGGAAGTATGACATATGACAACATATGTTGTCAAGCTAACACTCTTCTCAAGATGCCCACCCTGGTAGCTTACTATTACAGCTTACTAATGATACATATATCATTAGTAAGAGACAGTGGTTTTCATGTAAAAATTTGCATTTTTACCTCTTTACCCAGCTTGAATAAACCAGATTTTTTGTCACTTAGGATTGCCTTAGGTCATGCAATCAACAGATTGAAAGTATTACTGCCAAATCCTCCCAGGTTTTGTACATTAATTTCATTAGACACCTTGTAACAAAGAAAAAACGTCAAACATGTAAGTAATTCAGTAGTCATTTTAACAGTCAAAAGTCTTTCACTTTTCAGTGAAAGTGAAAGTGTAGCATTTGAATGAACACTTCCTTTAAACCAATATGCCTTTGGGTTTGTTTTGCTGCTGCAGTTGTGAGACCGCTCCATTTTTCTGTCTCTGTGGAAAGTGACCTTTATGAAATACCTGTCACTCAGTTGCTTTTTACTTTTTTCACTTCCAGGCAGTTTGCGTTTCTTTAGCCTTGCAGGCCATCAGGCTACGATTGCTCATGCATCCTAGGGCACAGCAGACCTGCACATCACACCCCTCTTTCTTCCCTAAACTACCTCCTCTTTAAGACATTAATCAAATCTCTATAGAACAGCTCTTCACACTCCAGATATCTAGCTGAGGTTGTTATGTATTGACAGGAGAGATTTCTCATCCCATTCACCGGAGTTAGGAGTAGCAGGTGCCATTATTTCATCTCTTCTTATAATCCAGAGAAAGAAAGAGTAAGGATGCCATTTGAATGCAGGTAACTCTCATGACAGTCAAATGTGTTATAAATACACTACTGAGGCAGATTCACACATTGTAAAATTAAAACAAATAGAAATCCTCCAGAGATCAGGGTAAATATTTAAGATGTTGTTCGATGGAAAAATTTGTGTTCCACAAAGAGGCTAACTGCATTTCCTGCCATACGCCAGCACATTTTCTGTCCATCAGAAAGACTTGGCTGGAACATGAATGGAATTTCCCTGTGCACTTCCAATGGCCAAGGTGCCTCTTTTAACCTCTCCCAGCACCTGCCCCCTTCTCAAAGGTTTGTATATATCCACGCCACAGAAAGCAAAGCTGCTGGTGATTTTCAAAGCTGCCCATCTTGATTTTTTTTTGACCTAACCTAACAGCTTATGCTATTACACAAAGGCGTGCAGCCATTTCCGATGCATAGGCAGTGACTATCAGTGTCAATACCTACCTGTTCTGTGCAGCCCCATCAAGCATGGGCAGCCACTGAAATCAGAGGAATTTCATACGAAGTTATCAACCTGGAATATATTTTACTGTGAGCACCAGTGTGTAACAGTCCTTGTCTGCTTCCCATTACTTAATCTTACAGCGCAAAATTCCATGTTGACAGTTATCCTCACCTGCTGCACAGTACTCCCCTGTTCCTCATTTACTCAAACAGTCTTTCAGTCCATTCCAAGTGCTGGGCAAAGGATTTATCAAAACGACAGTAAAAAAGCACTTAGTTCTAAAAGCTCAAATGTTTGCTTTTAAGTGATAATGAAGAAAAAAAAATGTTAGCACTCAAGAAGATTTTTAGAATCCAAAATCTTCACATCCTTTGTGGAAACTCCAGTGCTTCTCCATTACATAGCATGGTAGAAACTCCTCTTCACATACCATTGCTATCTCACGGAATTGAAGAAAGTGTGTCAGACTTTCCATTGAGTTGAACTGGACAGAAGAGCCTGTTGAAACATGAATGCAAAATGATTACAGAGTGTATATTAGAGCAATGGAAAGCAATCACTGGCACTATCATCTGGAGAGGTGTTAACAGCTCGCTAGAACCACTGTAAGGGTTTGCAATCCCAGGGAATCTGTCATGTGTCCTCGGACTCCTGTAGCGTCAGATCCCGGCCCTCTCATCGGTACCTCTCACTGGCACCCACATTTCAGCGAGATGAGGGCTGTACTACACGTCAGTGGTGCTCAGGGTGAGAAGGCAGCTGTCCTGGCCATTTTTAATTATGCAACAGGAAAATGCTCTTCAGCGTTGCTTGAATTTCACATCTTGTCCACACAGGCATAAGTTTAGTGCACCTCCCCCAAATTAAGGAATCCCTCTCACAGGGAATTCCCTTCCTAGAGTCACAAAAGGCCTGTATAAGAAGGAAAGCGTACACCCGTATACAAGAAACTACAGGTCCGAACAATGGATATTTGCAATTTTTAAATGTGTGCTGGACTGAAGCAACTATTGCTATGCAAAATCTTAAGGCACTTGTGTCAGTGCAGGAGAAGCTGAACTTTTAATTTTCACTGTTAATAACAAATTATCACGGAATCATGGAATCATGGAATTTTCGGAGTTGGAAGGG